GCTGCCTAGGTCAACAAATCATCCCCAGAGAGCCGGTAACCCTAGCAGTAGACACCTTTGGGGTGTCTACCCAGCCTCTAACCTGCTCTCTGAGAACTCCGCTTTACGCCCCAAGAAGGAGAGCTTTTACCACGAACGGCTGTTCGATTTTTGGCAGATGCTTTTTCTCTGCATCCATGGAAAGGACTGCGTGGGTTTTGAACTTTATTAATACGGTGTGTCGTATCGATTGATTTTCAGATGTTAAACCGACCTTGCATTCCTGGGAGAGATCCCACTTGGTCACGGTGTATAATCCGTTTTCTACCTTGCTGGGTTCAGTCTGCTAATATTTTGGTTGAGAACTTTTGCATCTATATTCGTGACAGATATTGCTCTCTAGTTTTCTTAGATCTTTGTCTGGCTCGGCATCAGTCACTTCCAAAAGGAGGGCCGTGGAAAGCACACATTTTCTATAGTAAGATCGCGTCCCCTCATCCCCAGGTTGCTGGGAACTGGGCACAGAGAGGCTTGCCACCTGGCCAGTTCCTTGAACTACAGCGGCTGCGCAGCTGTCGCTTCCCCCAGCTGCATTTCTTCACAGACCCCATATTCTTGGAGCAAATTCTCCATGGTCCAAGGGCCTCTGGTTCTAAGGCTCTCCCATGCAAATACCCACAGGGGCCAGGAGATAAAATATATTAGCGAAACAACTTGGATACAAGAGCAACCTGGAAGAGCAGGTCCCTATGAAGTGACCCGGCTTTTGCTCATTGTTTCTGGCAACAACGTGAGCCCACGATGGCCAGATACTCCAGTTCTGGAAGAGGGGCTGGACGTCCAGTTCTTTCTGTGGACTGATTTTTAATTGCTGGCAACAGATTTTAGTTAATATTTTTTGTTTATTATTATATTTTAAAGAATTCTTTATTTATTCATGAGAGACACAGACAGAGGGAGAAGAAGGCTCCCTGCAGGGAGCCCAATGCGGGACTCGATCCTGGATCCCATGAGCTGAAGGCAGACACTCAACCGCTGAGCCACCCAGGCGTCCCTAGTTAATTTTTTTTTTAATAAGTAAACACCCAATATCCAAATATATATAAAAACCCAAACCCTGAAACATGGAAAGTCTACTTCTCACTCAAGACAGATATTCCCTGTTCTCAAATTTTTGTTTATCCTTCCAGGGAATGTTAATGCCTTTCTCACACAGATGGTAGCGTATCATGTGCTTTTCTCTGCACCTTGGCTTTCGTATCTCGGTGACATTTCCATACCAACTCATAAAGAACTCCTAATCCATTTTTGCAATTTCATAGGATTCCATCCATCTGTGTGCGTGTGGATGTACTAGAACCAAACCAATCCCATTATTGATGGACACTTAGGTGCCTTCCAATCTTGGGCTATTTCAACATGTGAAGACTAACTATGTGCTTTTATCATTTCTCTCCTGTGGGTGTCTATTGGGATGCGGGATCCCTAGAGGTGGAATTACCAGGTCCCGGGGCATACACATTTCTAATTCAGATGGGTACTGCCCACCGACCTCCACAAGCATGGTATCTCACCAGCCATGCTTGAAAATGTTTGTTCTTCACAATTTTCACTGACAGGGACACCTGGGTGGCTCAGCGGTTGAGCATCTGCCTTTGGCTCAGGGCGTGATCCTAGAGTCCCGGGATCGAGTCCCAGGTCGGGCTCCCTCTGAGGAGCCTGCTTCTCCCTCTGCCTGTGTCTCTGCCTCTCTCTGTGTGTCTCTCATGAATAAGTGAAATCTTTTTTTTTTTTAATAAGTGAAATCTTTAAAAAAAAAATTTCACTGACAAACAGTGTCATCAAAAACATTTCGTGTTTGCCAGCCTAAAATACTGAAAACGGAATAATTTCTATAGTCTTTCATACTTACCGGTAGAGATTATCTTTTCATGTGTTTAAAATGCCTTTTACGTTTTCTTTTCTGTGAGATGCCTGTTCATATCCTTTGCCCATTTTTCTACTTTTTCTCTTATTTTAGGAGCTGTTTATATGTTAGGGAGATTATCCCTTTATAAAATATATTTATATATATATATACATATATATGTATATATACATATATTTTTCTCAAATTGTCACTTGTCGTTTTGGTCATTCGTCTTTCGAATTTGCTTTAGATTTCTTGTTTTTTTGGATTTTTTTTTTTTTGGTTGAGTTTTCAATTTGTTTTTGCCATGCAAAGGATTAACATTTTTTATATAATCAAATTTATCTTTAAGGCTTCTGGATGTTGAATGATTCTCCAACGTTTCTGCCTTCTTATATAAATTCATTTTATACATCTAACTCATCCTTAATCCATTTGGAATTTTGGAAATGTTCCTGGTGTACAGAGTGAGGTATGGAACTTGCTTTATTTTTTCCAGATGGTTACCCAGTTGTCTCAACACGAAAACATTTTTAAACAGTTCAGGGTAAACCACACATTTCTGCCAATGCGTGGGCCACCTTCTTGAAACCTCTTGCTTTGACAGACATGAAGTTCACATCCACTGGGAAAGCAGGGAGGTGGTTGACCAAAGAGCCTTGCTCTCATGAAAATGTGCAGTGTCCTTTCTACTGGCGTTCCACAAAAGAACATTTTCCTAGGCTGCAAAGTGACCCTGGCAAGGGCTGTGGGCTCTGCTTGAGCCAGCAGTCAAGCCTTTCCTTTACCTGACAGGTCATCAGGTCACCTGGCACAAGGACAGTGCTTCCAGAACACCAGCAAAGGACTGAGGTCAGAATCGCTGGCAGGCTCTGTGTCCTTGCCTTCCCTCCCTCCGGGTGTCCCCAGGTGTCCCTCAAAGTTCACTGTTTGGCATTAGGACTCCCAGCAAACTTGGAATGGCCAATCCTAGTTCATTGGTCAGCTTTCCCTACCGACGTTCCCATGCAACCTCTCCCCTCCTTGCTGACTTGGGGTCAGTGGGTGTCCTGACAAAGATCCAAGGACAGTGAAATGCAGAGAGGGCTAGTGGGACTTGTGGCAGCTCTCACTCCTCCACCTGTTCTTACTCCAAAATTTAAGGGTGGTCCCTAAGTCACTCGCTGTTGATGCTCCTGGATGCCACTGATCAACTGAGAAATAGCACACAGTTGGCATTTTTCCTGCTGGGCCAATCACCCACCTGCAGACAGTGCCCGTTGCCAGCCCTGTGGCCAGCGCTCACACAGGTCCCCTCATTTTGTCACACAAACACCCCCCAATGGGCAGGTGCCATTGTTTGCTGCATTCTTATTGAGGAGGAAGCTGGGCTCAGAAAGGGTAAGCAACTAGCCCGAGGCCACACAGCTGAGGTGTGCAGGAGAAGATGGTGCCACCCAGGCAGGCTGACCTCAGAGCTAGAAGCTCTCAGCCACAGTCCAGTGAGTCTCTATTTTAGGACATTCACGATGCTATAGCTTGATCACATGACATTCCCTTTCACCTTTCCCTGGCCCCTGCTTCAGGCCCTGAAAGTTGAAAGAGGCCTGGGTATCTGCAGCAAGCCACACACACTCGGCCTTCTGGAAACTGATGTCCTCACCGCTTGTCTGAAAAATTAACTTTCCATCAAATCTATGTTCTTCCTGAGTGGACACACTGGGGCCCAGTGAGTATCAGGGCTTCCTTCATTAAAAACAGTCCCGATCAATACAGCACAGAAACAATCTGCGGCTACCTGTTGTGACAGTGTCAGCCAGGGAAGCCAGACACACGGAAGGCACCACGTGGGCTCCGTCCACAAAACTACAGATGCCAGCGGCACCCGTCTGTACTGACAGATGTCAGGATGAGCCCAGGGTGGGGTTATTATTTAAAATAAAACTAAATAAATAAATAAATAAATAAATAAATAAATAAATAAATAAATAAATAAATAAAGTAGGGGATCCCTGGGTGGCTCAGCGGTTTGTTGCCTGCCTTTGGCTCAGAGTGCGATCCTGGAGTCCCGGGATCGGGTCTCGTGTCAGGCTCCCGGCATGGAGCCTGCTTCTCCCTCTGCCTGTGTCTCCTGCCTCTCTCTCTCTCTATGTCTATCATAAATAAAAAAATAAATCTTTAAAAAAAAATAATGTATACGAGTTTTTTTACTAAAAAAATGACCTCCACAGGAAAATGCTGGCTCTTCTTGAAACAAGGTGTCCACCTATATATTATTCTTCTTAAGATATATTTATTTTAGAAAAAGAGAGAGGGGCAGCCCCGGTAGCGCAGCGGTTTAGCGCCGCCTGCAGCCCAGGGCGTGATCCTGGAGACCCTGGATCAAGTCCCACATCAGGCTCTCTGTATGATGCCTGCTTCTCCCTCTGCCTGTGTCTCTGCTTCTCTCTCTGTCTCTATGAATAAATAAATAAAATCTTTAAAAAAAAAAAAGAAAGAAAGAAAAAGAGAGAGCACATACACTCAAGAGCAGGGAGAGGGAGAGAGAATCCCAAGCAGACTCCATACTGAGCGGGGAGCCCGATGCGGAATTCGATCCCATGACCCACGTGATCACAAGCTGAGCTGAAATCAAGAGTTGGTATTCAATCAACTTGTGCCTGCTGGCTTGTTGAGCCATCCGGGTGCCCCTGACCTGTATTTTCAATCCCAAAAACTTGTCCTAAAATGTCAAGATCCAGCTTTTTCCTTACTTTTGTACTGCTCTCTCTCTCCTGATTCATTACGTTAGATTTCCCTGAAATTGTAACACAGGTCTGCAGTTCAGTTGTGTGTGTATGTATACGTGTGTGTGTTTTCTTGGCTCTGTGAGGAATTTCAAAACAACGCAGAATTATTCATCACCAAGGTGAGAAATCCAGAATTCCCGGACAAGAGCAGGAAAAGTGTCTGCATGCAATGAAACGAAGGCAGAGCCACCTCTGAAGAGCCCTGGAATCCTAACAACCTCTCGGTTCTTGCTGGGGATCCGCAGGTTGGAGGTGAGGGGCTTCCTGATGTGCAGATTCGGGGGGTTGGGCTCGCCTCAGTGCAGGAGCTCTCCCAGAGAAAACATTCCCACCCATACCATACGTGACCTCTCGACACCTTTATTGAGCGGATTCACAAGCCAGCAGGCACAAGGGTTGGGGACAAAGCACCCACCATAGGAGGACCTGGAGCCATGCACCTGGTGGTGGCACGGAGCAGAGGCCCCCACAAAGCCCATGCCAGGCCCATCACAGAGACATGGGGAAACCCGGGTCCCTGGGGGCCTGAAGCCTTGGTGGCTCCTCAGACCCACTCACCGCAGCCCCGGGGACACCAGGCTGGCCCCCCGAGTGGGAGGGACTTGCCTCCTCCAGCTCAGTGCTGGGCTCGGCCACACATGCACCCCAAACCCATCTCCGAGGCCCGGGGTTTCAGTGAAGCGAGGGAGGGGGCTCAGGAATGCAGGAAGCGGTCGGGAAGCCCCCTGCGGGGAACTGGTGGACCCTCTCCCTGCCCATGGCAGGTGCAACCCTCACAGGCGGCAGGTGCAATGCTCCCAGGCGGCAGGGGCCACGCTCCCAGGTGGCAGGTGCAGTGCTCCCAGGCAGCAGGTGCAGAGCTCCCAGGTGGCAGGTGCTGCGCTCACAGGCGCCGGCGCGGGTGGCCCGGGGTGCGCAGAGCGGCCTGGCCGGTGGCCCCGGGGAAGTGGTCCTCTGTCCGGTAGAGCGCAGGCAGCTCGTAGGGCGGGGGCGCCGGCGCCCACAGCTTCTGCAATGACAGAAAACCAGGTGCACCGTCAGCCCCTGTGAGTCACTCGCGCAGTGGCCCGAGGATGCCGGTGTAGGACTGAGGGCAGCCCGCAGGGAGCGCGGCCTGCGTGACAAAGGCTCCATGCACGGTCCTTGGGTGGCACTGCCTGGGAGAGCCAGCGCCGCCCCACCCCAGGGAGACGGGTCATCAGCACCGATGTTCCTCGTCCTGGGCGGAGCACGGCCGGCATGGGGACACGGGGATGTAGGGACAGGCAGGGCCTGACAGGGGGACTGAGGAGCCAGGTGTCCCTCATAACTGCATGTGCATGTGTGTGCACACGCACGTGGACTCCTCGGGGGGCCCCGGAGCCCCGGCACAGGGCCTGCTGCTGGGCAACTGGGGGGCGGGCTCAGTGTTCTGTCACCGGGTCCCCCATCTGTGCTGCCTCGAGTCGGTGCCATATAAATGTGTTACTTTTTCAAAAAAAAAAAACACTCAAACCATTTTAAGAAGTGCTCACTTATATTTGCTGCGGATCTTTGTTGAGAAGGGTGGGAAAAAGAGATTTTCCATCAAGCAGTCCTCCCCAAGCTCTGGTTGGTGAGACCCTTTCTCCAGGAGAAACTGGTTTCACAGAGGACAGTGTCCAACCGTGCTTCTCACATGTGGCTGTGCGGTGGCACCTCCCCCCCCCCCGCCTCCCCCCTACCCTGGGCCTGAGGACACTGGTCTGGGGTGTGGCCCAGCACCGGGGTATTTCAAAGTCACCAGTTGATTCTCATGTGGAGCCTGGGCTGATCCCAAAGACGGTAGCCCCTTGGGAAGAGGGGGGTTGGGCCCTACTGGGAGATGGGCAGGAATGTGGGGCTCAGGGGTGCAAAGGAATGAGGTCCTTCTGCACATCTCCATCAGGGGTCCCTCTCGCCACCCTCCCCGTTTCCATGCATCTCCCTGACTGTCCCACCTCCTGGGCTCCCCCAGCTGAGACCCAGCACCACCCGGTGCAGGTGCCAGGGCAGGGGTGGCGGCTCTGGACCACAATCAGCAACAGCTCTCCCAAAGCCTGGGTCCTCCTCGGGCCCCGCACTGCACCCACACGTGCATACTCGGCCTCCCCGCACAGTTGTTCCCCCCAGTGACGCCCTGACCACCATCCTCATCGTGGAGGCGGGGAAACCAAGGCTGGGGGGGGGTGCCTTACCCAGGTCCCACGTATTCCGAGTGCCTGCCCACTCCACCACCACGTCCTGAGCGCCCACACCAGCCCAGGCCCATCTACGCACAAGACAGTAGCCCCAGCCACCCTGGGCTCCCTGGCGGGGTGAGACGGAGTAACCAACAGAGCAATTCCGCCAGGTGATGGCTAATGGTGGGGAGACACAGGGAGCTGTAGGCCTGGAGGAGGCCCAACTCCCCTGGGCGGTAGGGGAGGGGGCATCAGGGAGGTTTCTGGAGGCTTGAGCCATTGGGGGCCTCCACCGCCCAGCTGACAGGGCTTGCCTCCAGACTGAGTGGCATGTCACAGTGCCGTGGTGAGGAGGGAGGGGCACCTGGGGACACCAGCAGCTCAGTCTGGAGTGGGGCCAGATCACCATGTGGACAGAGATGAGGCTATAAACCAGGGCCCGATCACATGGGCTCTCGGAGGCTGTGCTAAGAACATCCCAAGAGACCAGGGAGCCACTGAAGTCTCTAATCAGGAGTATGTGGCATTAGGTGTTTTATTTTATTTTTAAGATTTATTTATTTGAGAGAGAGAGAAAGAGAGAGAGAGCACGAGAGCAGGAGGAGAGGTAGAGGGAAAAGCAGGCTCCCCACTGAGCAGGGAGTCTAATGGGACTCGATCCCAGGACCCCAGGAATCACAACCTGATCGAAGGCAGATGCTTGACTGACTGAGCCACCCAGGTGCCCTAGGTGTTTTAGAAAGAGCAAAATTGAGGGGAAAGAGGGGAACAGGGAGGAGGCTGTGATCAGTATCCCCTAAAGGGGAGCAGCCAGGTTTTTAGGGCAGGAGTGGATAGATTCTCAGGTCTGAGCCCCGAAGCCCTGAACTTTCCTCCACAGAAGGAAACCCATCAAAGTATTTCAAGTCAGAACGTGCTCAGGTGTCAGGACTACCTATCTCCCTGTGTCACCATCCTGGAAAACCAGGATGAGCCATTCACCTTGGCCAAGGGCCAGCCTCACGAAATGAAAGTCAATAGAACATTCCATCTGTCAACCCTGGGTCAGCCATTCTTGGCTCAGCCTACCTGGGGGTAGTTGGGGCCCAGGCCTATGACCTGCCCCCTTGTTCTAGCACCTTCCTGGGCTGCCCCCTGCCCCCATGGATGGGATGCAAGGCCTCCAACAGCTCCATGACCAGCACACGACTGGGAAACGAGCCATGAGATACGTCTCACAGCCTGAGGGATGCAATCCAGGGGTAGCCCATAGACTTAGAATATCCTCCCCCCTTTTCCCCTGAAACCTGGGCATCGTGGTCTCTAGAAAATGCAACTTTCAAACACATAATAACCACTCAAAGACCAGCTCCCTTGTCCCAACACATGGCGGTCAAAGAACATTCTGTAATCCTGAAAAGATACATCTCTTCTCCTGACCCTCAGGTCCCAGGCCAGGAGCCCACGAGGGGCCAGTGGCCAGGCTGGAGCCAGTGTCCTGCCCCAGTCATGTGGCCTCATGCTGATCCCGTTCCTTCTGAAGTAGTTCTATTCAAAACGGGGTGCCTCTGAATGGGTAAGGCACCTCCCCCCCCCCCCCCCCGCCGAGGGATGGGAAAGGATTCCCATTCTGCCTCCTCCTTCAAGGAGAGAATCTTTCAAAAAGGGGACAAAATCAATATGATTATGACAGGACCAAGGAGGAGTCATCCTGCAAGCCTCCTCGCAGGACTGGACCAAACCCTGGCCAGCATCCTGGAGCACGTGAGGCAATGTGGGATGGTGACTCATAGCTGGTTGGAGAGCTGAGCCTGAAGGCCAGCCAGGAAGGGGTGACCTAGGAGGAGCCACACGGGCTCCAGAGTGGCCTCAAGGGTACATATACTGCTCTTAGAGACTGGGTGGATGTGAAGCGGACACGGGCCCGTCTAGCCTCCACTGCCCGCTGGGATCGGCATCCTGATCTTCTTGCAGGGTCACTCGTCTGTGCCCGACCTGGCCACTGTCCCTACCTGCTGCGGCTCAGGTGGGGTTGGTGGGAGGGAGGCCTGACCCACCCGAGCTATGACTGGTCCAAGGCTGAGCCTGTGACCCGAGCTGAGCCAATGGGAATCAGCCTTGGGACTCTCACCACTGAGACAGGGATGCCACCCCCAGGTTCCCAAGTGGATGGGCCACGAGCCTGAGGGCCACCTCTGCCACCAATCCCAGGGCCTGCCTGGGATTGAAGCCAACACAGGGAAGCAGAGCTGGGAGGCAGTGAGACAAAGTCGGGCCGATATGATCTGAGAAGCTGAATCCATTATTCCTGAGGCGGGAGTTACCCTGGGCCGTTTCCTGTCTGTGAGCCATGGACTTCTCTTGTTTGCTTCAGCCAAGTTGACCTGGGCTGCTGTCACTTGCAACCAGGCGTCCTAAAACAATTAACCCACAGTGGAGCCAGGGAGTACTTGCAAACCAGCGGCTCCAATCAGCAGGTAAGGGCTGGTGTGCGAGGCTGAAAATAGCCAGATGCTCCAGCGGCTGCTGGGAAGAACAGACCACATCCTGCAGGCCAGGCCCCCATCGCAGGCACACCACGACGCCATGGAAACCCAGTCCTCTGCACCCACTCTCTCCCGGGCTCTCCCAGCAACGTGCAAAACTGGGGTCATCGCGGTGTCTCAGAAGCGGCAGGAGCCAGGCGACCCAGGAGCTGGCGTCCACCAAGCTCGAAGCCCAGCCTTTGCAGACCGGGCAGCAAACCCAAGCCCCTGGGAATCTCGCAGGGGGCTTCAGAGATCCCTTCCTCTTTCTCGGCCTTCTCCGGATCCCCCTCTGGACGGGGCTGCCGGGTAAGCAAGGAGGAGTGTCCCCAACTCCGAGCTCCCCAGCTCCCAGCCTGCAGACTGTTCCAGCCGCCTGGGACTGGTTAGGAGATGGGGAAATGTGACCCTGCAGGTCCCGGACTCGGCCACTCTGCGTCGGGGGTCTCTCTTCCCCGTCCCTGCCGCCCCCAGCCCCCAGTCACCTGCTGGCCCCCCGGCGGCGCTGGGCCTGGCCTGCTCTCCCCAGTCTACACACATTCCCACATCCTCGGCTCCACCCTGCGCACCCCAGCTCTCAAACCTGCAGCCCACACATCAGACGGGTGTGCTTGGTCTGCTTCATGATTTCTAAAAAATGGAATTAATTGCAAACATGTAACAGGAGATTTCTCATAAAAACCAGACTACCAGCTTCTCTTGGAAAATCAGATGATATGACAGTTCCAGGCTCGTGGCTCCTTGGCTCCTCGTTGGCTCGGGGGGGTGGGGGTGGGAGGGCAGAGCTGAGGGGCAGGAGGTGCTCTCCTCTCGGCCACTTCACCGTATCTGTGACCTGCTGCAGCACACACTTCACGGCTGGCCACCCGGGCAGTCTGTGCCACTGGGCAGCTTCTTGTCTGACGAGCCCCCACGTGGCCGTTGCAGCGCTGGGTTCCGGGCAGATCACTGTCTCCTAAAGGGAAGCTCACCCACCTCAGGGTCTTGGCTTGCCCTGGGCCACCTGCCCACTTGTTTCCAGAAGTCCCCACTGCCCCTTGGGAGTCCCGGCCTGCCTGGTGTCTGTCTCTCTCTTGGGAAGCCCTAAAACTGCACATCCCTAATCGTGGTCTGCTTTCCGTTCGGGTCAGGGTTTGCAAACTTGTTCTCTGAAGGGCCACATGGTAAATACTTTAGGCCTTTGTCGCAACGATTCAACTCTGCCTTCACAGGCCCACGGCCACAGATAAATACGTAAACTGACGGCATGGTGGTGCGCTAAGAAACTTTAGATCAGGACAACAAATCCTTCCCTGAACCTCCCATAGAATGGGCACTGAGTGGAA